ATTAACTAGTGAGAAAGAAAGAAAGAAAGAAAGAAAGAAAGAAAGAAAGAAAGAAAGAAAGAAAGAAAGAAAGAAAGAAAGAAAGAAAGAAAGAATAATGACACACAATCAGAGATTTAAATTTATGTCCTTGTAAAGTCACTGAATGATGTAATTTAAGATTACAGGGCGGGCATCTACTTACCTCATGCATATTAAAGGCAAGGTTCATAGTAAGAGCACACTCAGACCTAAATATAGACAGCGTAGAAATGGAGATCAAGCATGTTATAACTGGCCTGAGATTAGCTGTGTGTTTGCTCAAAGCGATAACAACTGTTGTCTTGGTTGTTTGTCTGGATGGTCTGAGACATAGAGTTGAGCCTACAGAGGCTCTTTCTGGTGCTGGAGTCAGTGCTGAAACTTCATTAATGAAATGTAGTCTTCAGAGTACCCCTCGTTTACCAGCGTTCTCTATGGACGGTGACTTTGTTATTGGAGGTGTTTTCTCGATTCACTACAAACTGCACACAGGGACGTATAATTACCTCAACAAGCCTGAGATTTTAAGGTGCACAGGGAGGTTCGTAAGAAGTGGTAGAAATGAATTTTATATGTGCATAAMTTAAAATGATGTTTCTTTTGCAAAGTTTTCTAAACTTTTTTCCCATATAGGTAATGTGTATGCATTTTTTGAAATCGTTTAAAATCTAGATAATCATTAGTAATCTGGGAATGTACATCTCTGTGACCTGCAGATTTATTATTGATGCATTTTTTTACATGGTTAAACATTTTCTTTTGAATTATTTAAGCTTGTGATTTACACTTTATTTGCACAATCAGGTATTCTTTGTTGTAACATTAGACTTTTTCTTGTTTTTTTATTTACTTCAGCCTAATAGCTCGAGAACTACGGTTTTCTCGAACAATGATCTTTGCYATAGAGGAGATAAACAACAGCACAGAGCTGCTGCCAGGCATCAAACTTGGATATCAGATCTATGACACATGTGCCTCAGTGCCTGTGGCTGTGCATGTAGCAT